GCGCCGCCACGCGCGCCCCCAGCGAGACGGCTCGGCTCCTCCTCTCCGCCCCCGGAGCCGGGGAGGGGGCGCCGCGGAGCCGCCGTCGCGCCAAAGGCGGCGAGAGCCTCGCCACGCACGCGGAGAGCCCGCCGCCGCCGCCCCCCGCGGCACCCCGCCCGCCTCGGAGCTGCCGTACCCGCAGCTCTCTGGGCGGGCGGCAGGGATGGACACCCCCAAAATGCAACATGGAAACAGACGCATGATGGACGGCCTCTCGCGGCCCCGCCGCCGCCCTCCGGCATTTTCTGCCCAAGTCGCCCCCGGTCGGGCAATGCGCCCATGCCGAACATCCCTCCCCACCTTTCCACGACCCACCGATCCCGCCCCCCCCCAAGAATTGCTGCAACTCCGCCCCACGTTCAGAGGGAGCCCGTCTTTGTTCCCCCCCGCGGGAAAAAGATCATCGACGCCCCTCCCCCACCATTACAAGTGAGACCATTAAGCAAAACACATGCCTCCCCCAACCCCCCAGCGGTAGAAACACGAAGCCCTCCCGCACACGCTCCCCCTCACAAGCACGGAGCGATGACCCCCCCCCCGCGCGCACACACCCCATTAGAGGAGACCGAAGACCAAAGCACAGGACCCCGCCGGCACCGCCGCGGATCCTCCTCCCCGGCAGCCCTGGCCGCCGCCGCGCGGGGACTCCAAATACGCCTCCTCCGGCTACGGCACACACGGCCCCCCCCCCCGGGACCGACGACCTCCCCTCCACCAGAAGGAAAGAATCGGCCTCCCCCACTCCGATGCCGACACAGAGCCCCCCCCGGCAGTCCGGGCAGCCGGCCCCCCGCGCCCCAACACGCCTTCCCCCACCCAACGCCGAGCCCCCCCGCGCAGAGCCGCGGCAGTCCCCCGCCCGCGCCCCCGCTTCACGCGCCCCCGGCGGGTCTCCTCCCCCTCCCCTCCCCTCCCCTCCCCGCGGTTCGGGCCGCGAGGGGCAAGCAGACGCGGGGCGGGGGGAGCGAAGCCGCGCTCAGACTTACCTCGTCGAAGCCAGGGGAGCCCGGACTGGGCACGGGGCTGGCACCTGCGGGGGGGGGAGAGGAAGACACACGGTTAGCCCGCCCCGAGCGAAGCCACCCGTCCGCCCGCGCCCGGAGTCGCCGGCACACGCCTCCCCTCCCCCTCTTCCGGGTTCTCTGGCCAGGCGTGAGCCCCCGCTCCCCTCTCCCCAGGGCCCCCCGCGTACCCCACCCCGCCTGCAGTCGAGCTCGGCGCCCCCTCCCTGCCGAAGGGGATGCCGAGCCGCCCCGCCCCGCCCCTGGCCTTTCCGGCCCCGCTCCCCACCAGTCGCCTCCTCTCCGCCCGTAGACACCCCGGGGCCCCCGGCAGCGCCGCCGCAGCGGAGAGCGGGGCAGAGCGGGGCCGAGCGGGTCCCCCCCCCGCGCGCTCACCCACCTGCGTACTCCTCGGGGCCGCTCATGCCCGTCTCCGCCAGGGCGCTTCGCCCAGGACTCGCCCCTCGCAGCCCGGCCGGAATCCCGTCTGCCCCCGCAAGGCTGGGGCGCGACGCGGGCGGGGGGGTGTCTGGCGGCGGCGACGGCGGGCGCCGCAGCGGCTACCGGGCGGGCTGGGGAGGCGCGTTTCTCGCCTCCGAGGTCCCGGGTGGGCTGCAGCGGGACGGGCCGGGTCGGGTCGGGAGGGCCGGAGAGCCCCGGGCGGCCTCTCTCTCGCGCAAGCCCGCGGAAAAGGAGGCTGCCGCTCGGCGACGAAAGGAGTAGCCGCCGCTCCTCTTCGCAGCTCCCCCCGCAGCAACCGGCGCCGGCTCTCGAGCGGCGGCTCCTCCTCCTCCTCTGGCCAGCCCCGCACAGCTTTCCCGCCCCCTTCCAGGCAGGGCTGGCGGGAGGCGGAACCACCTGAGCCGGGGCACGGGGCGGCACGCGAGCAGGGCGGAGGCAGGGTCGCGCGGCGGCTGGCAGCAGGCTCAGAGTGCCCCGCGTCTCCCCCGTCCTCGCCACTTGGATTCGCCCATCAGCTGAGAAGTGCCGGGGGCGCGCGCCGTGTGAGCGAGAGAGAGAGCGAGCGAGAGAGAGAGAGAGTGTGTGTTTGTGCGCGCGCGCAGTTCGCTCCCGCGCAAGCGTCGCCCGCTCCCCCCCGCGCGGGGAGGGTTCCCGCCGGCTGGGAGGAAGTCCTGGGGAAGGGCCGCGCTAGCGGGAGCGAGCCACGCCTCGGGCCGAGGCCCGCCGGCGCGCCGCGAGGAGCGAGCGCTGCCCGCACCCGGCGCGCCGCTTCGGCAGGAGCCGGACCCTCCCGGGCGGGCGATGGCGCCTCTTCCTCCGCTCCGTCGAAGCCGGCCCGGCTGCACCGACAGCGCGGCAGAGGAGGGCAGCGGGCCGAAGCGAGGTTTGTGAACCGCGGCGGTTGCGGAAGGCCGTCGGCGGCCCGGTCCTGCCTCCCTTGGGCAGTGCCGCGCCGCCCCCACCCGGTGGGGAAGCGCCGTGGTGCAGCGTCACCGTTTCTTCCCGCTCCGCAGCGCGCGCGCGCGCGCGCCCGGGGATTAGCCAGGTCTGAAGGCATCGCCCTCTTCCTGGGGCAATTGGGGCTGCCTCCGACCCGGCTGCAGGTCTCTGCTTCCTTGCTGGAGCTCCGCGACAAGGGTGCAGGTATGGCCTGAGTGCGTTGTGAGATCCACTGTCATGGCTAGGCCACCGGGGGTCCTCTGTCCGGAGCCCCAGACTGATGGGCTGAACTTGCGACGCTTTGTGTGAAGGCTTTCGGCTTAGAGAAACGACGGTGTCGCAGGTTTCCCCTGCAGCTCGCGTGTCCTTTGCCCTTTCCTGCTTAGACCTTCCAGTGTTCACACCCAGCCTGTTCGCAGAGTTAGGGAAGGGGAGCCCGTGTCCAGCCCTTTATTTACACTGAGCTTCATTTGCCATTGTGCCTTGGCTCTGTCCCATCTTGGGGAGAGCATTTTATTACTGCCGTGCATTTATCTCCCACCTTTTTTGTTTTTGTGAGGAAGCGAAGGTACTATACAGTCCTTCTCCACCCTGCTTGATGTTCTACTTTTTCCAGTTTGCTGAGGGATTCATGGTCTTCCTTAACTGTCCTCCCCACCCTATAGAGTGCCGGTAAAGTGACTGACAGAGCGTGGGGAAGCAGGGCAGCACTACTGCCTTTGTGGAAGCAAATCCTGCAGGATCAAGTTTAAGAGGACAGCCAGGTCGCTGGCTTGTGACTACAGTTCCTCACGTCATCGTCTATGCATTTACACATAGCGGATGTGGACTTGCATTGAATCTTGTTTCAGGAAATTTTCATAGCAGAGGGACTGTGTGGACTTGGCCTCCATAGTGCACTTCTTGGCCACTGAGATGAGAGTGTGTCCTGATATGGGGGGGGGGGTCAGGTTCACCCATGGCAGGAGCACCAGCAGGTGACCCCCCTCCCTCCCGAAGTAGAAGGCAGGAAGGCAGTGTGGTTCTCATGCACCACTGGGGCAGGCTTTTCCGCAACACCCAAAGCACTTTTTGAAGCCATCTGCTCCCTTTTAGGCTTCTTGCAGAAATGTTTGGAAGTAAACACAGGCCCCAACTACCTGGCCTTCACCCAGACAAAGGAGGCAAGAGAATGCCCACCAGTAGGGGGAAGTTTGCTTCTGTACCTAATGCATTTGCAGAATGGTGCCTTCAGGCCATGAGAATTGAGAATAATGCAGAAGAATGAAGACACCGAAGGAAAAAACCTCAGCCAAGAATCAGTCCAATGGACAAGGCACGCATTGTGGCAAACATGGCAGTGGTTGAAAAGAAAGTGAGGGATCAGGCAGAAACCTGCTAAGGACATGTATGCTAGAATGGGCCAGAGGGCAGCTTCCTGCCAAAATCAGCTCTGGAAGGTTCTGGAAATGAGGCTCCATGCAGGTGTACAGTGCATATATGATACAGAGTCTCCCAATAACCATTTTTATCCGTTTTTTATCTGAGCCACAAGACAGAGGTAACAGGTTATCCGTTATTCTTGCATGCAGTAACCCTGTTCAAATGTAACAGCAGCATCCCAGGCAATTCATGTGTGCGCGCTACCTCTGGTTTCCTGGAATGATCTATGCACATTCATTGACTGCTGTGACATTCAGTTTTGGCCACTTGATTGTTCTTGGGTTAAACAACTCCAAACACCCAGATTAAGATGTCATGGCAATAATCTATTAATGTTACATTTGTAAAGAACATACAAATGCTACATTTGGAAGAAGCTCATGCATGATGTTCAATGCCACAATTAATCCAAGATTTGTACTAAGCCCCAACAGGGTCAGTGCTTTATATAGCATTTCATTTCACTTCATTTTGCTGCAATAGGTTCCTTGTAGCAACAGCAACCTAGAAATGTAAATAACCAAAAACTGCACACCTGGACAGGGTGTACATGCTATTCTTAAGGAGAGTCCTCTTTGGCTATTCTGCCATTACCATAAAGTGCCAAATACAACCCTGGACCTTGAAATCCAGTTACAGAACAGAATTTTCTAGCTGCCCCTTTTTTCCCTTGCAACTCTTCAAGTTATTTTGTGTACAGGTCTGAGCAGCTTTGGGAATGGTGTGGAACAGGATGAGGGAGTTAACAGAAATGGACTTCTTGCCCCAGGAGAACTTAAAACCCTGAGCTGCTGTTAGTTTAATCATATGGAAAGCATGTTAGCACAACAGTGGCCATTTTGATATATTGTCCCAGGTTTTGCAACTCCTTCATCTGTTCATACTGGGAACGTACCCATTCAGTAATTACATTTAGACTTGTTTCCTGAGTCCACACCAGCTAAGCACCCTCCTGCACAAAGTCATGCACAAACATCCAATTGGACTATTGATTTTATTGCTGGGTGCACTGGGGACTTCATTTTTGGAACATGGGGCATTTGTTTGTTTAATCTTTTAAGGGTGATTGAGGGAGAAATGCACTGCTCACAGTGCACTTCTGCAAACGGTTTGAGAGGACAGTGTGTGCTCAGCTCCCCTGGCCCTTGTGTCTCATCAGCTGCAGCAGTTGCACATCTTGCAAAAAAGGAAAATAAAACTCCAAAGCCAGAAAGATCCCATTTTATTTACACAGCAACCTCAATGCTGATGAACAGGGAGCTGAAAGTTTAACCTTGCAACATAAAACCATTTTGTGTTTCTTACCAAGAGATGGTGTGTTTGCTGGGACAGAATGTAGATCTGCATAGAACTTAGATCTTCAGAAACTCAGACATGCTTGGTCCATTCCTCAGCACAAGCTCCGAGAGCAAAAGGGCAGAGACCACCATCTTCTGGTTGATTGTGAGGCTAGCTACTCTTTTTCTACCACTGACCCGAGAGGACACTGGCGTGTACAGTGCCTTCCAAGATCACAGCTGAGGGTGAAATCCAACCCTCTGGGGCAGACAAAAGCATCACCTTCTGAGCAGGAAAGAAAGGAAAACTTAAGGCCAAGCCATGAAGAGAGAAGTGCTTTCACAAGAGGAGCTGGCTTGTATGTTTGCCAGTTACAGGAAGAGGCAGCACCTCTTCACAGGAGGCAGGGTGGAAGGAGAGAAGGAAAATTCCTCACCCTGACAATTTCAGATGTGAGTTTGGAGTTCCACCCCATTTTCTGGAGAAGCTACTCAAGTACAACACTTAGCAGCATTTCACTCGGAAACCTTCCTATACTCACTGAACCCAACAGTGGCAGGCTCAGTTCAAGCATCAGAGAGGCGCTTGCAGCAGAAGACTTCCCCTCGCCACTCAATCAGTGCTGGGCACCTCTCTCTCCGCTGTCCTTGGTCCCTGCCCAGCAGAGACTTGGCACAGATCCCGCAGCAGAACAAGCAACTCTGTTCACTTTCCTCCTCTTCCTCCTCACTGCAGTCTGCAGCAGGCGCTGGTCTGTACGGGAGGAAGGGCTAACCCAGCAGGAGACTGCACAGCTAATGTTCGCACGATGTAGGCGGGATCCCTGCTGTTCCATCAGGCGGGATGAGGACTGCTGCATGGCTTGCTCCACTCCCAACCAGCGCTCACACACTGTCTGGGACACGCACGTTATAGAAAGCCCTCCTTCCGGAACTGCTCCTGCAGGATGTCCCTGTATTCGTCGAAGCCTCCCTCGATGCGTTGCACGGTGCCCTTCCCACACACCCAGAGCTCATGGCACACCAGCCGGATGAAGCGCTCGTCATGCGAAACCAGGATCAAGCCGCCCTAGAGGAAGATGGGGGAAGAATGCCTCACACCAGAGCTAGCAGCTTGCAGCTCATGCACCGTGCCGGCCCCTCCTGCGCCCTGCTCTTTCAGTCCCCCGCTTGCAACTGGCAGTACTCGGCTTCCTCACTGCAGGACCTGCCCTGAGTTATGTATGCACTTATCTATATCGCGCCTTCCAAAGAACTTCGAAGTGGCTTACATCATTCTCCTCCTCCTGCTCTCAATCTTATCCCCACAACAACCACTCAGTGAGGTGCACTGGGCTGAGAGTCTGTGACTGGCCCAAAATCACCCAGAGAGCTCCATGCCTGAGGAGGGACTAGAAACCAGGTCTCCTGGGTCCCCCAGTCCCGCACTCTTAACCACGACACCACACTGGCTCTCATCTTCCGTGTGAAGTCTAGAATAATGTTAAGTTGGATAGAGCAGCATGAAAAACAGAAGACTACAACAAGTTAACTGGCAAGTAGGAGATAACACAGCATAGTGGTCTGAGGATTATGGGAACTGTAATCCAACACATCTGCATGCTGCTAGATTAGGGAAGGCTTACAAAGCAGATGGGAGACACAGATGATGCCCCATATTGTCTTGTTTCAGCTGGCACCCCATTATCTGAGTTTATGTGGATGGTTACAAAGTTAACCCTTTGGTGGTTCCTGGGCTGTGGAATTCCCTCCCTCGCAGGGCCCTCTCCTCTCTTTTAGAAGAGCAGCTAAACCAATCCTGTTCAGAAGAGGACTTCTGTTTAGACTTGTTACTGTCTGTCTCCCTCCTCCTCTTCTGAACTCTCATTTTTCAGTGGCTGTTTCACTTGGTCATTGAATATTTACATAATTTTAGAAAGAACTGCCAGCTAAGTATGCTTGTTTTCCTGTTACCTCCCCAGCCCTTTCCTCTTTTGTATCATCTCTGTTAGACTCTAAAGCTGCATGCAGGGATCGAGATTTTAAAATCTTTGTACAGGGCCTAGAAAATAGCATGATCATTATAAATACAAACAAGGGGGAAACGCTTGTTATTCTGATGGCCGTTCTGTGCCTTACTGTTGCACCCTCCAGAAGAAAAGAGCAGAGGGCCCACTGTATCTTGCTCCCTTCTGAAGGAAAGAAGCACCTTTGTACAACAGGCCTGAGTGGAGTAGAGCATTTCTGGGTGAATGGGCACTGGCACTGTGTGGCAGTTACCACTGGTACTAGCCGGAGGTCAGACTAGATGGCCCGGGAGGCCCCTTCTGACTCGCGCGGTTTCTATGTCACCAAAAGGGATAACTTCAAAGGAAGCATCCCTCCCAGAGTAGTATGAGGCCAACAATGCTCTAAAACAGCTTCCTGAGGTGGCAACTCTCTATGCTCGCTGCCCTTTTTACGGGAGGGTGAGGGCAAGCCCTGCTTATGTGTTACCTCCTAGTGAGAGGTTCTGGTTGGGAGTTTTGTATTTCGCTAAGAGGCAGAGGGACCCACGTTATGGTGTGTTGATAAAAATGTGCATGCTGTTAGAGGCTTGGCCTGGGGGAGCCATGAGTCGATTTGGGAACGTGAAACTTTTCTAGGCACTGCCACAAATGTGTCCTGTGAGGACGTGGCTGCCCTGAAATAGTGTGTGGTCCAAACAGAGGGGCTGGGGGGCAGTGGGGGAGACAAATAGTGAAGCCAGCAGATGGGAGTGAAGAGACATAGCCAGGGGCAAGTGGGTGGGGGGGGGGGGGGCAGGGCTGGGGCTGAGCTGGGTGTGTGTGAGAGGAAAGAGCAAGGGCCAGGGAAGGGAGAGAAATAGTGAGAAACAGTGTTGCTTCAAGAGCACTCTTTTCTTCCTGCCTGTCTGCCGAACAGCTGAACAACAGTGGCAGGAGAGATACTTTGCTGCCCTAGTTTTTTTCATGGTTTTAAAAAAATATGTACATCTTCTTGGAGGGGGCAGGGAAGGAAGAGCTTAGTAGGCAGTATTAGAACCACCCTGGGGACCCCCTATTTTATGGTTCTCTTAATTCACCTCGCTGTATTTTCTGTATATTGCTTTGTTGCTCTATATTTAAACTATAACATTAGGTACACACTATCAATGCTGAGATAGATTTAAATTGTAACCAGTCTCTCCAAGAGCCAGCTTCAGATGAAATGTGGGGGAATCCATCTATAACAAAAGATGTATCCATCCAGGCTGTAGTACCAGGACTCTGAAATGCAGACAGTTGAAGCTTGGTATCATGCTAAGAGGACCTCAGGGGAGTAAATCTTAGGGTTTTGTTGTGGTTGTTAGTTGCAAAGCCATGTCCGACCCATTGCGACCCCATGGACAACATTCCATGGCCTTCCTGTCCTCCTCTATCCCCTGGAGTCCACTTAAGCTCACACCAACTGCTTCAGTGACTCCATCCAGCCACCTCATCCTCTGCCGTCCCCTTCTTCTTTTGCCATCTATTGTTCCCAGCATCAGGTTCATCTCCAGTGAGTCCTTCCTTCTCATTAGGTGGCCAAAGTATTTGAGCTTCATCTTCAGTATCTGGCCTTCTAAAGAGCAGTCAGGGTTGATCTCCTCTAGGACTGACCGGTTTGATCGCCTTGCGGTTAGTTGGTTTTTAATTACATTCAGTCATTTTAATCAATTTTGATGTGTCCATGTGGTGAAAGCCTGCAGTAACTCATTGGGATGACTTCTTTAACTAGTACATAGCTTTGAAGTGCATACAGTTTAAACCAAGAACAGTGAGGAGCAGGCTGACTGGACTGGACTGAATGCTTGCTGCCTCTGTCCTATTACAGGGGATTCCTTCTGCTCCCTTCAGGGGACACCCTGGCCCCAGAGATCATCAGAAGCCCTCCTGAAAAAGCCCCCCTCCTCAGGAAAGTGGGAGAACGGCTACAAGGAGAAGGGCCTTCTCGGCAGTGGCACCCTGACTTTGGAACCAGCTCTCCGGAAAAGTTTGCCAGGCGCCCTCTTTGTATTCTTTTTGGCAGCAGGCAAAGACCTTTTTATTTTCCCCGATATTTTAATTGTTAGAATGATTTTAATGGTTTTAATATAATAATATTTTACAACTGGTTATAAACGCCTATTGTGCCTTTTATGTTCTTCTTGGATAATCTGAGTCTGTGAAATTTTACACTGGTGCGGTTTTTACTTGCTGGATTGTCAGATTTTATTGTTGTTTAATTATACCTTTACTGTGCTATTTTGTAACCTGCCTAGGGAGTCGTATGGCTAATGGGCAGGATAAAAATCTAATAAATAAAGAGAACAAACAAGTATCTATTTCATGCTGTGCTCACACTGACATTACACAGCCGCCTGCAGGAAAACTCACCCGGAAGTGGTTCAGTGCCTTTGCCAGGGATTCAATGGTCTCCATGTCCAGGTGGTTTGTCGGCTCATCCAAAATGTAAAAGTTGGGGCTGGAAGGAAAAGGACCTTCATTTAGTCTGAGACTGGCCTGGTCAGGCCCCAAAGCAAGCCTCAGGTGTACCTTCCTGAAAAGCCTGGTCAAGACGAGAAACCCCTGATTCGGTCCCTCAGTCCTTACACAGGCCTCTCATTGGCCGTCAGTCCAGAATGTTACCCTCCCAAGGTGCACCGAGAGGGGAGTGCATGGTCCAGCACGAGGCTCAGTGCTTGCATTGCACAGAGGGCAGAACTCAAGGGCTCAGCAAATGCGCTGGATGTGGGAAGCCTCAGGTTCAGCACCTGACATTACAAGTGCAAGCAGGGCTGGAAGAAAGCCCCGCTTCCCAGCCCTAAAGAACAGCTGCTGGGGGACCCTTGTTCTGACCCCAGGCATTTGTAGGATCAAAATACACAACTTTATCAACAGCTGAAACAGTGAGCGGGAAGCACAGCGATGCATTCACTCCACGTTACACACTACACAGTGGTTGGCACTAAGTTTTGAAAGAAAATAGGAGGCTTACCAGGACATGGTCATCTGGGCAAAAGCAACCCTGCTTTTCTGGCCTCCAGACAGGCTGGCAACAGGGCGAACTGCTAGCTCTCCAGAGACTCCATAACACCCCAGCTGATGACGGTACTCCTCTTCCGTCTTCCCTGAAACCCACCAGAAAGCTTTCGAGTGCATGGAGTGGGGCCAAGCAAGAGCTATTAGCCATGACAGCTAAACAGCATGGAATTAAAGGGCTAGCATGGCGTTCCGAACACAGCGAGAAGGAAATTCACAAACATGACTGCATGTAAATTAATCCAACAGCTAGAAAATATGACCCCAGGTTTCTATGACCTGGACCAAAAGCTGGCATCTTTCTGGTCATCAGTTTCTTGTGTATTTGACCTCCTGTAGAGGCAGGTAGACAAAAGAGGCATTTGAGGCTTCATGATCATTAACTAGCAAATTATAGCATTTCCTCTTGAACAAAGTAAAGAACGTACTGCACCAGTACACCAATCAGGTGCAGCACCTAAGGTATGTTTATCTCTTTTTGAATACCATAAAGCACTATATATCCAGAAATGGAGAACAAAGGACTGACTGTCTCAAAGGATGACATTTGCTAGAAGCGGAGTAACTGAAAACCAATAAAGTATGTTTACAACTTCCACAATTGGCTATACTCGACCCCATTCTGTTTTTCATTATGTACCCCAAAGTAATTCCACAGGAAATGGAAGCTTACCTGGAAACTTCTTTGCTAGCAACTCAGTGGCGCTGATGTCTAGGTCCAGTTGATCCACGTGATGTTGACTGAAATAGCCAATCTTAAGATTCCTGCCAAGCCAGAAAAGAGAGTTGGAGAGGAAGCACAATTATAATCAATGGATTTCCTGTGGAAAACCTACTATGGCTGAGAATGCCAAAGTAAAGGAATGATTTCTGCCTTGCTTCTCTCCCTCTGCAGATAAGAGAGTGTTGCCTCTTGCCCTTTTGGAGGGAGTCTAAAGGGCAAAGTACTTTCTACACCTGTTGATCAAGACCGGTTGCTCACAATATTTCCGTGCCAGGAATAACAAAGTAGGCTCTGACAGCAATCCGAGGCCGACTCCACACTCTTCCACTCATGTCAATATGGTTAATTCTTTCCCTTTGTCTTTATCTGTAGTCAGGCAGGACAAGCTTTGGCTTGGCTTAATATTCAGTTCTTATTCCTGATTGCCAGTGATCCTCCCTAGAAGTTCTCTGCAATGCAGAGAACTTGGGAAATACAGCTATGAACCTAGTTTATTTTCCTCTTTATTGCTTCAGTATTTTATGCCTCCTTTCTGGGCAAAAAACCCCTTTGAAGTCATAACATAAAATGATTAAAAAGAGAACTTGCACATGAAACCAGAATTGAACCTTGCAATCCACAAAAACATAATATAAAATAAGAAACAGTAATAGTTTAAAAGCCCGGCCCAGTGTTGTTAATTAAAAGCAGACTGCAACAAAAAGCTTTTTAAGGTCTCAAGAGGGAACAAAACATGCACTCATAGGAGGGAGTTCCACAGAGATGGAGCCACTACTGCTGAGGCGCTGCCTCTTCTGCTCATCTCCTTGTTCTTTGCATTGGGCCTGTGAGCAGAACCACTATAGGCAATTTTAGGCATGTGGCAGGTTCTGTGGCAAGTACATGTAGCCCTTCCAATAACTTCATTCCAAACTGTTTCATACAGGAGGGGAGAATCCTTCTCAGCCTGAAGGCCAAATTCCAGTCAGGGAAAGAAAGGTCTTGAGCCACATGCCCTCTGCAGGTAGGCAAGGTCAAAGGCAAAGGTTGCTGTTGCTAGCCTAAATGTAGCTATTACTGGCTTTAAGCCTACTCAGAAGCAAGCAAATGCCTTCTACATATCTACTTAGAAATAAGCAGAACTCAGTAGATAAACCACCCCAAATAGCAAGCCTTTGTATGTCTGTTCAGATGCAAACCTGGTTCATGTCTACCCACAGGCAAACCTCTGAGGAAAGCAGGAGTACATTAGTGAGCAAGTCCCTCTCCTAGTTCTGCCCCCCTCCCTGCAGGGCTTATCTCCAATTAGCAGCTGATACAAGGTGAGAGTTTTCCCTGGCAGGAAAGGATGGAGCTGGAAAAAGAACCTGACAGGCTAGATGAAGAAGCCCTGCAGGTGGTTTAAAGCCTGGCTTCAGGCTTTAAACAGGAAGCGATGGGCCTGGAAATGCAGGAGCTGCTACAGAGCATGTGGGCCTGCTCCCCACAAACTGAGCAGGTGCTTTCTGGAGCAGCCAAGCCATCTTAAAGAGTCCGCATCTTGCCTTGTGGGGGACTTGGGGAAAGGTGGAAATGCTGACGGAGACTTGCGATGGCTTCTCCAGAGCCAACAAGAGGTGAGACAGTACCCCCTTCTGTAAGTGCCAGAAGCACTGGGGTGGTGGTGGTGAAGCAGAGAGGTTTTTACCACTGGCGAAAGGGAAACGGGGACAATTAGGGAACTCAAGAGAGGAGATCGTTGTTTTGGATTTGCTGAGATTGCCACTGAGAATCAGATTTATGAAACCTTACCCACCTTTTACATTTTTCCCACCCTCCAAGCAGGAGCCAAAGATTTTAGGCACTATCTTTTAGCTACTGCTATAAGGGTTGGGTTTAGAATCCACAACCATGCTACTGAATTGAGGACAGTACAGTAGCTTCTGCAAAGTAGAATTACACTCCAGTTCCAATGTAATCTTTTTTTAAAAAAAAAATACATTTCTAATTAATATAAATAGGAAGAGTACAAGACATTTAAGAAGAGAGATGGGGGTTTATAGAGCACATGAAGAAAGCTTTGCAGAATACAGAAAGACATCTGGCGTGAGACAGCTCTGCTAATGTCCCAAGATTTTACCTATAACTACAACATTTCCAGGAATTTCCCTTTCTGTAACCATAAGGACTAAAAGTTTGCTTTTGTAGTTTCAGTTTAATGACCTGAATATCCCTACGAGTTGAATTTCAGGATCTCAAGCAGCTGAATTTTGATTCAAGCCACCACTGGAATCTTGCTGGAAGCTCCTCAGTAGACAGCAGCACAAAAGGACAGACCCCAAACATGACTGTGTTGTTTGCAGAGCTTGCCAGCAAATCAGCAACTTTCCGTGATTTTACCTCTCTGGCCCACTCCCTGAGAACTCTGAAAAGCCCCATGATTTGTGCTGAACTACCTGTGAGCGTGCCTAATCCCCTGCACAGGTGCCAGGTCTCCCATCAGGATCTTCAACATTGTAGACTTGCCAGCTCCGTTCTCTCCTACCTGAATGAAAGAATAGAGGAGCGGCATGTCACAGAAGCTGCACAGAAGCTGGAGCAAGGCAAAACCACCTGTCCCTTGGAGAATTAAACCAGGCTAGTTGTGGTGAAATAACAGCAGGAACTGGTGAACTTCAACTGGCCATTTTGTGCCTTTTATGAAAAACTCCTCAGGGATCTGAGGATGCAAGGAGGCAGCCGAATGTAGGGGGAGTTCTTGCATGCCCGTGAACTTCTTAAGTGACAATTTCTCTTCTGCAGAAGGGTATGAACAGTGCTAGCTTGTTAAGTATCTTCCTTTCTAATTTAATTTTTGAAAGTTGATGGTGGTGCCTAAACCATTTTGAAGGCCCCCCCCCCACCCCAGTTCTCATTCGGTTCCACAGGCCAAGTGTCATAACAGGTCCTTCCACCAATGACATCCCCCACTGCCTCATTTCTGCTAGGAAGTCTCCTACCCAAATTCAGAAAGCATGGCCATCTCAAGTATGCCATGTTATGATTATGCACACACTGACCTGTCAGAGTAATTAATGGAATTATAATATCGCATTAAGATTCTGCCTTTTTTGAAACAAACCCAAGGTGGCTTACATAGCTTCAGATTATCCCCAGAACAACAACCCTGTGTGGTAGGCTGGACTGAAAGTCTGTGACTGTCTTAAAGCTGCCCAGTGAACTGCATGGCCAAGGAGGGACTAGAACCCGGATCTCCAGTCCAGCACTCCAACCACTGCACCAGGCTGGTTCTCACAAAGATAAAATGAGGGAGCACCTCTCTTCTCTGCAGATTGCAGCTTTCACCAAGCTGGTGCCCTAGACTGTTACATCCACGATTCCTGACTTTTTACTATGTAGGCTGGGTCCTATATGAATGGTTGGCCAGAACATGTGGAGGACATGAGGTTGCCTAGCTAGAAATTGTGTGAATCAGTCCCACCCAATGACACAGGCTAATTTCTGAAACAGGATTTTACTTTGCAATGTTCCTATTTAATGCTTGCTCTCTTTTGCCAAATTCCCCTCCTTACCACACAGATGCGGGAGTCCAGGTCAGCAGAGACAGAGAGGGAGCGGAAAATGTAGTTATTGGGCTCATAATAGAAGTCTACTTCGTCCAGCTGTAAGATGGGAGGTGAAAACTTCTCAAAGCCATCTGGGAACCTGCAGCAAGAAAGACAAGGACCTGAAGTTGAAAAGGAAGTGACACAAAGGGCACGGTCCCCCATGACACAGAATTTACTTAGTGCTCCCAGCTCTCTAAAACATATTTAGTAGTAGTAGTACCTTGCACTGTAACTTTTTATGTTCAAGGCACTTTGCCTATATAATTGGGCTGTAACAAGGGTGCAGGCCTCTTTCGGATTAAAGGCCAAATTCCATTTTGGAGAAGATCTTTTAGGCTGCATTCCAGCGGTGCGGGGGCTCAAGATAAAGGAAAGGGGGGTCAAAATGCCAGCATAATGCAGTGTCAACTCCTATTTGCCGGCAAAGAAGCCTCAAGAGAGGCATTTTGAGCTTGAAGAATGGAGGAAAACTTCACAAATGCCAGGAAGCCTCCAAAGGGCTGGTTGTCAGGGGAAAGGGGGTGAGGCCGCCTTAGAAAACCCAGGACCCTGAACTTTGCTCCAGGCCTGAATTTCTGTATTCCTTTGATATAATCTAAGGCACATGGGGCAGGCACCTTGCTGAAGCTAAGCCGGTCTGGCTGGTGCCTGAATGGGCAATTGAGAATGCTACCTAGAGTTCTGGAGAATAAAATTGGTATATAAATAATCCAGTTATAATCCTTACAATGATCTGTTAGTTTTTTTTAATCATCTCCATCTTTCAAAAGAGGAATGGAGGCCAAGAGAAACAGAGAGGCTTAGCTAAGGAGACAGATTTGGAGACTCCAAGCTCCCTCCCTCTAGCTACTTCCCAGTATCAGTTCTCTAGGAAACTTACGGCATTAGGAAGCAGCAGGAGGTGTGTCTGAGGCACAAGCCCCACACCGCAACATGTCGAGACAGAACCCGCAAAAGAGCAGTGTGGACAAAATGCCTGCTGCTCTCAGGCCACTGGGAATGGTAGCCCAAAGTGATGTTCCGGCTAGGGATTTCAAGGTGGAGAATAACGGGGGAAGAGGTGCAGGCAGTCTGCTGTCAGTCTGGGCCCCGGGGAGCTCCCAGTCTGAGCCTGCACCTGCGCACTGTGAACTGGTCCTTTCAGAGAACCCTCTGCAGAAGGCAACTGGAGCTATTCAACCACCCAAAGGTAAGGCGCAAAACAGCCTTCTCCTGCCCAGCCATCCAGAGATAGGATCTTCTGGACCACTGAAGAAAGAGAAAAGGGGGAAACACACACACAAGTCCTGCTATCACCTTGAACATACCGACTTGACACCTTGCAGCAGGGTTGCAGTTTCGCCCCAAATCCTGGACCTGCAAGTGTCTACTCACTCACGTGCTGAGTGTAACCAATGCAAGCTCCTAAAACCACTGATGACTGGCTGGAAGCAACTGAGCACAGGGTCTGCAAGACCAACCAGGTTCTCCAGCCAGCAGTCATGCAGGGAGCAGTGTCCTTCAGACTGAGAAAGCAGAGGCGGGATTGGTTCCTGCTCTGCCTCGCTCCATCCTTGCAAGGAGAGAGAGTAGTGCTGCTCATTTTCAGTAAGAGTTACTCACTTCATTATCACCTCTGATTCTTTGTCCACAGGCTTCAGCTTTGGCCTATCAAACAAAAGAGGGACAATTACAATCAAGAGGGACAGGGCGTCAGGGCTCAGTCCTCTCTAAAGCAACTTAAAGGGGGAAGCTCCTCAAGCAGAACCCCTCTCATGGAAACAGTCGTCCCCTAATCCAGATTCACCAGGCTGCCCTCCTCCCATGCCAAAGTCCTCAGGAGTGCTTAGTACAGGGCTGGCCAACCCTAGAAGTTTTGGCCTGTACCCCAGCACTGGCTATGCTGACTGGGGCTGATGGGAGTTGTGTTTACCCTAGAGTACCTTCCCTACAAGGTGCCTAGGACTTCAAAGACCTCTAAAATCATGGAGATCCACCAGGTTCTGTTATTCCAGGTAAAAAGCACCTGTTGGATCTCTGTTTTCACTGTTTATGGTAATACAGGCACCTGGCATGGTTTCCTTAAGTTAAATCTAGTAACTAGGATGGCATGGGGGCCCTCTGGCTGTGGAGATTCCAAAGCAGACATCTCGCCCAAGAAGCTGCTACCTTTGCGGCAGCTTTTTTAAAAAAGGCGCTTGCCATTTCCAGTTCTCCAAATTGTCCATCTGTCAATCCTGCACTTCTCCATCCCTAGGTGGAACCTTGCCATCCAAGCATGTGCCAAAATTACAGTCCCTTCTCTCCCCCTCACATGCACTCTCCACCTGGGACGCATACTCACAACTTCTCCAACAGTTTGAGCTTGCTCTGTACTTGTGATGCCCGGTTTGCATTATAGCGAAATCGATCAATAAAGACCTACAAGAGAAGAAATATCAGAGTCTTTCTGGCAGGGGAAGTTTCCTGCAGGGCCTCAGCCATGAGACTGTGGATTCTCTCATTGATCCAAAGCACTTTTATTTATGCAAGACCATCCTGGTGATTGTAAATAGGATGTCCTTTCAAAGAAGCAGGCCCTTGACTGTGTCCTCAGCCATGCAGTGAGGCAGAGGAATCGGGTCAGATCTCTCTCTCGCTTTGATGCCCAAAGGCTGAGGCAGCATGTGCTGCAAAACTTGAGCCAGAGCCACAGGTATATCATTCAAGACCGGATGCTTTTAAAAATGTATGTTTGCATTCTAGATGACACAGAATGTCATCTATCTGCTTATTTTAGGGCTGTCTTCCAATTTAACGAATCTTTGTTAATTGCAAAAGTGTTAATGACTGATTGGATCTACACTTATAGTTTACAAGCTAAAGGGAAAGCATCAACCTTTTCTCTGTCTTTAGATTGGACATGGATACTTTACAAAAGGCAACATCAGAAAAGGCATCCTCTCCCTTCCCTCCTGCAGGAGACAAAGTGCTTCCTTTTGTACTTGCCATCTGTAGCTACTCAAATGGGTAACACCGAGTCCCATCTCTAGCCATGTTCCACTCCCTTCACACCTGGATGTGCTCCCGATACTGCTGCTGGGCCTCGTATTCGCGCTGCTGGTTCTTCAGGCGTTCTTCTTTGATCTTGACGAAGTTCTCAAAATCTCCACGGTAGCTGTCAAGCCGCTGTGAGTGCAGGTGGATGATGTCGGTGGCTACTGCATTCAAGAAGTTCCGATCGTGGGACACCACCAGGATGGTCGACTGCCAAGTCTAGAAGGAATGGCCAGCAAAAGGCAACCTTGGGCTAGCAGGGTGAATCTTTCAACCAGATTAAAGGACCCAAACTAGTTCTCCAAGAAGGCCGCAGAGCAGCATTAGCTTACTCTGCACCCACCTTCAAGGCACGAAGGCAAGCAACAGTTCTGAATACTGTGACCTGCTCTGCATGATCAAACGGCCTGCCATGCCTTATTTAAGCCATGGAAGGCTGTGGGACAGGCATACAGCTATTCCAGAGAATCAATGCCTCTCCGCTGCCACACAAACCTGCAGATAGTTCTCCAGCCAGATGATCGCCCTCACATCCAGCATGTTGGTCGGCTCTGGAATGGAACAAAAGGGAGAGTTGTTTGGCAAGGGGCTCAGTAAAGGACAAGCAAGCACATGGAACGGCATCCATTCCCCAGGTAGGTGGCGACTGCTTTGGCACTGGGGGCTGTGGGAAAGTACCTGCAGTGCATACACACCACCTGGGTTCAGTCTTCCAGAAGCCTCCAGTGAAAGCAACTTCGATACTACAGGAGGGGCAAGTTTCCCTTGAGATCTACTACTGGTCAGATTAGCTGAGGCAGCGAACTGAAGGTGATCTATTACCTTTTCCCTGGCTGGACTTGGTAGACAGGTTTTGCTGGCATATGACAAACACCGTATTTGAGGCTGGCCTGGAAATTCATCATATGCAAACGGTGCCTGGGTCTGGGCATAGGCAGCCACCCTGAGGCCTCAGTGCAACTTTCACAGGGTTAGACAAATAGATGTCTTGTTAGGACTGACCAATTGCAATGACCAAGTTAGGACTGGCAATGTATGTTTAAGGTCCGAACTTGAACAGTCTGAGGAATCTGTTCCACAAAAATTTGAGAACATCAAGACTACTACTAAAACCAAACCGAATGTATGGCGCTAATCTAGTCTATCTCCTAGGCTGATCTGGCAGGGGACAAAAAGACCTGTTTTGCAGCAAAGGGGTTTGGCCAAATGGTAATTTGGTCTCTGCCGGTTCCATGGCACAATGTATGAACAAGCTCTAATCCACAACCATCCTATCTTTGTGACTGCTTCGGATTTCCAGGTTTCTTCAGAATGTGCACCCACCCTAAAATACAAACATCTGCTAGCACAAGGTCTATATGGCCTTGCAACATGATCTAGAGAAGCAGTTAAATTATGTACATGTATACAATTCATGCCCTCCCACCAAATACACAAATACCGCACTTGGAGAAGACTTCTCTCTGCCCCAAAGATTCCCTCCTCCATTTCCAGATTGTTTTACCATAATGTGCTTTGATGTCTACAACATGTAAACTAGGTGAATCTTCAAGTTATGTAAATAAACCAACTTCAAACGATAGACTCAGGTAAGAGCTACTCCGAGGACCAGTTTACTAAGCCAAGCTTTGCTCGAGTTTACATCTCTTGTTCTGCCCTGCATCCAAGCAGGAGGCAAGCCAGGGAGCTGCAGCTAACCAAAGCTTCCTGTCTAACTTGAGAACTACCGTTAATGCTCCTGAAGCAAACCAGGATCTGGAAGGCAAGACATGGGCTCGTCTGGAAGCCATTAACTGTCACTTCTCATGATGGGATGCCATGCTTGCCTGCACACAGGAAAGGGGGAGCAAAACCGCTGCCTGCAGTGCCTGCATACCTCAGGTGTCGCTAAGATTAGACTGACCCATCCTGGCTGGCCAAGAAAAGTGCTGACCGCAGCTTGCCTGATTTGGACATTGCAGCAAAGTGGTTCGAGCAACCTGGAAATGGACAGTGGTGTCCACATCGAAGAAAGGAGAGAGCATGCAAGGACAACTGCTCCAGATGAGTCCATGTGTTATAGGAGGTGTATACTTACCATCAAGCAGGAGGAGGTCGGGTCTGAAGATGTTGCAAATGGCAGCACAGAGGAGGGGGACAGAAGTGGGGGAAGGAGGGAAGAAGCAAACAGGGTCAGTATGAAGGCAGTTGTTTTGCTAGTGCTATTCCTTACCCTGGCAAACTCCAGAACGTGCCCCAAAACCCCATCTTGTCTGACCCATCCAGGTTTAGTAGCTTTTGTTTGGAGATTCTGCAATCCTTACTCAGTCTGGTTACAACACACCTAGGAAGTCTACAGCTCAGTGCTCAAGTACCCTAACTGGAAGATTCAAGTCTGGTCATCTATACTTAACTTTTGAATTTGTATACTTCATTACAGCTGCACTTTTCTTGGCTTTTCCCTTAAAAAGTGCATTTGGAATTCATTTGAACCTAGGAAATGAAGTTGGAATTTTAAAAAAAAGGAACTGAGACAAGAATCAGGTGTTTAGGGACTGGGATTACACTGACTGAAGATTCCTCTGTCATCCTACTAGGGGACATCAGCCACTTTTTGGCTGCTAAGATAGTGGCAAAAATTTTTTTTGGGGGGGAGAGCTTTTTCGTTTTAGGGCTAAATAAATTGTGCTTTGTTCTTTAAACAATGGCTATGTTTTGGGGTTCTGAATGCCAACTAGTGATGATCAAGAACAACTAAAACCCTTTTGGGTGTGCATAAATGCCCTGCCATTTTCCTTTGCTTTGATATGAAAATCACCATCAGAGGTTCTGAGTGCACCAACCATCCAACATTTAGGCAGGAGGCAACAGAGGGAAAGGGAATTCTCAGTGGTGTGTCCTAACTCTGGAACACTCCTAAGGCAAGTCATCTGGTGCCAAACTGCAAAGTTTTAGGCAGAAAGACAACACCTTTTTACTTGCCTAGGCTTTTATATTTTAAAGCTGTTATGTTTTGATTATCCTTTGCACTAATCTTTTGCTTAATGCTGACTGGGATTTTTAGAGGCTAATTTTTGTAAATCAGTTTTCTACTGAAGTTTGTAAACCACCTCAAAAATGTTTTGTAAGATAGACTACACAGACTTAAAACAAAAATTCCTACAAGACAGGTTATCAATAGATTTCTCTCTCACCCTATTGCAAGGAGCTCATGACTGAGTACAGCTTTAAACTGGTGTCTCCCACAGGACCATACAATTCCAACACTCTTGCTACACAATACCAACTGGGTTCGGACAGAACAATAACCAACATTGTAAAGACTGAGTATGAATCAAGCATGGGTTGCTGTTGAACTGTGGGTTATTGTGTTGTGTAAACCCAGCTGCACTAAGACGCCATGGCTTGTTAACCAAGAACAATCCACAAAGAGGATCCATGGTGTTGTTCACTATGGTTTGCTATTCCAGCTGGGTTCAGATAACGCTAATCCATGTTTCAACAACAAGCCCGCAGTTCCAGGACATACTCAACACTTGACCATAGCTTCACTGACTCTCTTCTGTTAGATGAATGATGGTGATTTGGCCAGGGCTATCCAAAGCACCAGCAGAGCCTTCCAAAAGCAAGAATGTCCATGCTTCAGGATACAGACACACTGCCGCATAGATTCCTAGACCAGAAATGGGGAACCCTTGGCCCATGTGCTAGATACAGCCCACAGGGCTCCTCGTTCTGGCTGGCCAGCTTCTTTCCCCAGCAAAGAAAAGCCCTCACCTTTTATCGGTAGCTGAACAAGAATTACTTATTCCTGCTGAGAAAGGGAGTGATTCAACATGGCTTACCTCTGAGTAGACATGCAGAGGTGTGCCTTCTTTACTTTGGCACACATTTAAAATGGGTAAGAATCACAGACTGAATGCAGCCCCCAATACCTTTCCTAAATTGGAATCTGGCCTTAAGACTGAAAGGTTTTCCCACCCCTGTCCTAGATTCTCTCTCTTCCTTTGACACAACTCTTTGGGATTATTCAGGCTAGCTTTAAGTCCACCAGTGCCACCATGAATGCAGTTTCTGTATACAAGCTTCAACACAGCTGAATCAACAAGACATACTTGGCAAAGAGGGCACGCGCTAAAGCCAGCCTCATTCTCCAGCCTCCGGAAAACTCTCTGGGGAGAAAAAACAAAGCAGTTGTCAGAGTCCCCGGGTCAAGTGGGCACCAAGCAGCTTACAGATGCAGCAGGTGGCGTCAGGATTCTCATATGGGGGATGTCAGAGATGCCTCCACTCAATGTAGTTTTTGCTCCCACCCCACTGTAACAGAGCGAGCCACTGATCTTCCTCTTCCTGATCTTCCAGTTTCCCCCAGAAGCTATTCACAAGCAAGGGGGAAGGAAAATACCCCAACTGGGACATCAAGACAAATCCAGCCTCACTGAAACCACTTACTTGGTTGTTTGCTGCTGCATCTTTGCACTGAAGCCCAGCCCAGCCAGAATAACAGACGCTCTGCAGAGGAGCAGAAGAAATAACACTGATTCAGTGACGTGAAGGTCAGAGCAACAAGTTGTTCTCATGGAAGAGAAGTTGAAAGAGCATTTAAAGAAACTGAGGGCCGAACCCTATGCATGCTTAGACAAAAAAAAAAAAAATCCTACAAGTGCCAGTATTCCCCAACTGGAGAGGGAAAGCTGGGAGTTGTGGGGCTTTTCTCAAGCGTTATAGGATTGTGCCCTAAATCTGGCAAGCACTTTCACCCTCTCACAGTCAGAACAATTGCAACAGGCCACAGGACCTGTTCATATTCCTGTTGTTCTGAACATGTTTAGGCCTTCGGCTAGAAGGTAGATTTTTTGAAGTAGAACTTTTCTTCCTACTTTTCATTCATATATAGTCTAACAGCCGAAGTTCTCTGGGTGTTCGCAGGAATTCATAACGGCACGTTCACAACCCTCAGTGTGCTACTTTCAGGTGTGGATCGGTGTGCTGAGTCAAAAGGTACAGCTCTGAAGACCAGGAGCACCAAGCATCTCTCTGGCTGTTTGGTACACTTCAGCTGTGCAATTCCTCCAGCGTCCTGGTGGTTAGTTTGACTGAAATTCAGACCCAGAGACTGCAGAACCAACTGACGGTGTGGGGCTTAATTTCCCCCTTTTCGATCGTTGTTCAAAACAGGGTTCCCCAGGCAAACGACTTGCCCACTTTTGGGCCAGAAGGGCAGCCCTGGTCTTTTGCGAAGCACATCTGAGCCCAGCCTGTCCCAAGATAACACAGAAGAGGTTGAGAAGAACCACGCACTCCAATCGTCATGTGTGGCCTGAGCCTTTATGGAACATTCTCCCTGGCCCTCCTTGCAGAGCTTCAACATGCAGCGCAACCAGAAAGGTAGGGAGGGAATCCAGCCTGCCCTTCAGTCAGGCATCTGGCACCCTCGTTCCCTGCTGTAAGGTGCCCATGTCTGACATGCTGCTTCAGTAACACCTAAGCATTACATGTAGAGAACCAGTCAAGTCCTCTGAAAAAGGAACCAGAAGCAGAATGATTAATGTCTCCATCGGACTGGACAGCCCTCGGAGTGGGATGGTGTGACTTGATGTCCTGCAACAGCAGGGGGTTGGACCCGGTGGCCTTCATGGTCCCTTCCAACTCTGCTATTCTTTGATTCTATGAAAATATAATGGGATATATGGTAACCCTGGTGCCAATTTTCTGCAATCCCTCTTGTCCAAATATGACCTTTCTTCAGTGAAGCTTGTAAGAATAGGTAATGTCAAGGGGTGGACATGGAGAAGTGACCAAGAATCTGCTTACAATCCTCAGTACGGACCAGGCAAAGAACTAGTTCACACATCAAAGGGCAAATAGTTGCAGGCATGTCTGCTGTGTGTTAACTGCTTCCGGTTTGTGATTAGACAGTCAGCATGATCTGTGAACATGAAATGATGGGTTGTTTAGGAGCTGGACAAACCAGAAGTTAACCTGCTATTTGTTGTTGGGTTAACTGCTGGGTTCTTTGGACCCTGAACAACCCAGCAGTATGGTTTCACACCTACGCACAACCTTTGATTAGGCTTATTGGAGGTTATTTACAGAAAGCAGAAGGAGCCCTTGCATGTTCCAATAACCTGTGGCTTAAGTAACAAGTGATTTGCCAATATATGCTATTACAGCATGTGAAAAGCCCAAGAGTGTAACGTGGTTTGCATATAACACCAACCCTTGATTTATTTAACCCATGTGTCATTGCATTCTAGATTGTAGTGGTCTATACTAGAACCTTAGTAGTAGAGCCAAACTAAATAGGCAATGGTTTGTTAACCATGAACAACCATAGCCCAAAGAGAACCCATAGTTTACTGTTGGGTTGTGATTGCTAGATTGTTTAAATCATGGAGTGTTGTTGCATGTGAATCCAGAATTATGGACTGTTTTGCCAGGCTATGGGGCAGTGGGAAAAGTTGTAAAATAAACCCAGGTATTTCTACAGTGCTATAAAGGCATTTGGGATACAGGGTGGAGACCGGCAAGGAGAAGGGAAACAAACAACCTGGGATTGAGAAAGCAAAGCACAATTTGTCCTGTTATCTTCCAGGCAAACCTTGGGTAAGGAAAAAATTATGGTTTAATGTCATGTGCTAACCTGGTGTGTCCGTGTGTGTGTCCGTGTGTGTGTATGCACCTCCACTCACATAAATAAGTGTGGCTGCTTGTAACAAAATTGTTCAAGACAGTTCTTTGCAGTAGATACCAACACATACGTTTAATAAATAAAATAAATACACACACTTAACACCATTTTGATTCAAGGTGCTACACAGTGATTTATACACAACAAAAGTGGCTGGCTTTTTCCCTGATTCAGATATGAGCACTTGCGTTTTTATCAGAGACAAAAATCTTAGAGCACAAAGCAAATGCCAGAATGTCTGTATCTGCCCCACCAAATGAAGCTTCACCTTACCTTGCTGGAGCCTTGTCTGCCTCAATCTCTTCCAGGGCTGCATAGATTTCTGACAACCTGGCGCCTTCGGTGCCTTCTCCCCTGAAACAGAGGCAAAGCCACAAGGAATGACAAGGGAAGCTTGGTTCTTGATCACAGGATACCTGTACCTGGGTCAGGGCAGGGCACCTCAACGCCAGAGCTACCTTCCAGCACTGATCCGGGCTGTCAGCTCCCTTTCCTCCTTCAGCAGGCTCTCACGGGTCGTGTCGCACTCCAGGACGCTCTGCAGGGCTGGTGTATCGTCCCCGGCCACTTCCTGCTCCACATGAAGGATGCTGATGTGTGAGGGGATGCGCAAGCTGCGGCTGGCTATCATCTTCAGCAAGGTAGTCTTGCCCAGCCCGTTACGGCCCACCAGGCCGTACCGCCGCCCGTATGCCAGGTTCAAGTCTGCACCTGTGAGGAGGACGCTGAAACGAGAGAACATACAGGGTTTAGGGCAATCATTGTTAGAGCTACCGGCCCAGGTCAGGAGTCAGGAGAAGAAAGGCTGCATAAGACAGTGGAAAGCCTGAGAAAAGCTACCTGAAACAGCACCTGTGCCAGGGGTGCAAAGACATCATGGCAGCTTCTGGGTGCAGCTACAACCAGGCTAGAACGGAGCAAGTCCACAAAGGTGCCCAGCACCTTCTGCGCCACCTGCAATTTGTGCTCGCCAAGCGCAGCCTACTCAAGTGTCGAATGCGGTCTTGATGCCGCCTGAGCTCAGGTTCCCTTTAACACTCGCACGCAGGGCTGGACCAAGACACTTTGCTCCCGGAGAACAGGGGGTGCCCCAGCACCCCTTCCGCACAGGGAAGCCAACCAGGCAGCAACACGGCAGGCAAGAACATGCGGCTGAGCACAAGAGCACTGGGCAGGCTGCATGAAACGCAACGCGGCCTTCCAAGGGTCTCCCGCTGCTCCCCAGCTCTCCCCACTCCCCCATCCTCAGGATCTGCTGCCACGGCGGTTGCCCCAAAGCCTTTCCCTCCAGTGTAGCCACCATGCCATCCCATATCTAACTCCTTGGCCTTCCTGCACTTGCTCCAGACACATCAGATTTCATTTCATAAATCTATACATGCATAACTGAAAAACATCCTGGGGATAGTGGCTACTCAGTCAGTTAAAATGTAATACATGAGTAAGAAAAGAATACACCGAACAGCAGGATAACAGCAGTAAAATAATCCCCATTTCAAAAATCGCACCTGCTGCCCAACAGACACTGGAATAGGTGTCAGACAAGCCTCCTGGCAGAAGCATTCCAGAAATGGGGCTCCAACAGGCAAGAAACCCTTCACCCTGGTCACTGTCTGTTTCCCTTCTCCAGATGTTCCCACTTTCTAGAGAGCCTCAAAATATTGTCTGAGTACCCAAACTCGCCTTGGAGCAGGCAAGTCTCCCCCAGACTGGTGCCCTGCATTACAGGACTCGAGCACATCTGAAGAGTGCTGGGTAGGGCATGGCTGGAGTGGACACTCCGTCAAGTTCCCAGGACCTAAGCCACTCAGGGCTTTAAAAGACAAGCACCAGCACTCTGAATTATGACCTGACACAGACTGGGAAACAGCAGTATTAGCACCCAGGGGCAGAGACATCACCCTGCCAACAAAAGTGCGTATAATCAAGGCTATAGTTTTCCCAGCTGCAATGTATGGCTGTGAAAGCTGGACCATAAGGAAGGCTGAGCGCCGAAGAATTAAGGCCTTTGGATCGTGGTGCTGGAGGAGACTCCTGCGAGTCCCCTGGACCGCAAGGCGATCAAACCGGACAGTCCTAGAGGAGATCAACCCTGACTGCTCTTTAGAAGGCCAGATCCTGAAGATGAAACTCAGATACTTTGGCCACCTAACGAGAAGGAAGGACTCCCTGGAGAAGAGCCTAATGCTGGTAACAATAGATGGCAAAAGAAGAAGGGGGCGGCAGAGGATGAGGTGGCTGGATGGAGTCACTGGGGCAGTTGGCGTGAGCTTGAGTGGACTCTGGGAGATGGTGGAGGACAGGAAGGCCTGGAGGAATATTGTCCATGGGGTCACAATGGGTCGGACACGACTTTGCGACTAACAACAAAACAAAACAGCACCTGGGGCAAAGTCAGGTGGTAGCTATATTTTGAACCAGCTGCAGTTGCCCAGGACTCCCACATGCAGCCTCAGAGATGAGGTATTGCAGTCCTCTTCAGCTGGATGGCTGGTTTGGAGACACCCACAAAATGGGCTGCTCAGAAAACTCCTCCACCTGCCTGATGGAACTCACCGTTCACCAAAGGACACATCAAAGTTTTCAATGCGCACATCGTAGGATTTGTTCTTGCCAGATGTCTCCAGGCGAGTCTCCTTCTTGCTGGCAGCTTGGCTGGCAGATGCCTCTTCAAGCAACCTGCCACAAAACAAAGGCGCATCAGTGCTCGGAGAAGCATGTACACCTTCTCATTAGACTCAAGGTGCAGCATCACAGCCTGACCATGGTCCCAATCCAGCCCTGCTGAGGTTCCAGAGAAGGACGCAGCCTTTTCCCCTGAGACCACCTTCATTCACCCATTGGCCAATTATTTGGCGGTTTGTAGCTTTTGTGCAGATTTTTCCCTCTGTTCTGAAAAGACCCCTGAGGTTTGGTTATGGGCAATTAGGGGCTTTATGCTAAATCACTCTGGCATTTTGGCCCCATCCGTCACTGGAATGTGGCCCCTCAGGAGCTTCTCCAGAACAGATTTCAGCCCTCAACTGGAAGAGATTCAGTTCTGAATTAGATTGACAGCATCACCCTTCCTAAGCACAGTGTGACCAGCCCCTTCAGAGATGTGAGCCTGTTTCTGGCCTGTCCCACTTTGGACTGCAGGTGAGGAGTCACTTGATGGAATGCTTTGAGAGGGAAAAAGGGTTTCTGCTGATCCCACAGAAGCCACCTCTGCACTGACACACTCATTTTTGGGAACACAAACTCATTTTAGGACAGGAAATGTTTGTACAGGAGCTATTTTATGACAGCCAAGAGGTGGTCGTCATTTCTCCACCAGCAGCAAAATGCAGAAGATTTGTGCTGCAGGCAGGGAAGTCTGGCACGGGCAGGGAGAAACTGTACCTATAACTTTTTCTACTTCGTTCAGTGGGAAACTGTGCTGAATTTCAGGGTAAGCCCCAAATAAATTCACTTATAAAGTCAGCAAAGTAACCCCATTTCCCCCAGAGTCTCTTGTGGTCAGTATTCCGTCCATAGTAGCCCTGGCCAACAGAAAAGGACCCACAGAAAGAAAAATTGGCAGCAACTGCAAGATTTCCATATGTAGTTCCAGTATTTGGTTCACTGAATTTGGTATTTCTTACTGGCAGGCTCACAGGAAGCTCCTCCATGGGCTCTGAGAAAGTACCCCCACCCCATTTGGATGTGCCCCCCACTCACAGTGGGCTGCCAGACTTGACGGAGTCCCGCTCCTGCCTCTTGCTCTGCTTTGCTTTGAGGCGAGCCTCTGCTTTCTCCAGCTTCTTGGCGTTCACCATCTGTGATGCAGGAACAGAGCAGAAGCAAACATCAGGAGGTGCCCACCATCCGTCACCCAGATTGGCTTGCTACAATGGCTATTGCATCACCTACCCACCTGCTACCTGACAGAAGCACCTGGCAGAATGGACGATCAGGACTGAAGGGTGGGGGGAAGGGTGGGGAAAGGAGACAGCCCTCCTCTGCAACATGAGATTGGACAGAAGGACCTCTTGGTCCCCTCCCACCCTAAGATTACCGCAAGAGCACATAAGTGACTTCTGTGACTAAGAAAAATGGTCATGACATAAACAAGTCTTAGCATCACACCAGCAGATTCCCACAGGGCATAACGAAAAAGACAAGGCAAGTCTAAAGATCTAGGGGCACTTGCAACTCCAGCTCTCTAACCATGTTTCTCAGTCGTTTGTGCAGCCAGCAGAAATGGAACCCATCAGTTCTGGTGCCCTTACCGAGTTCTGGTCTCTCTTCAGCAACAGCCCTGGTAGCAAGTCCAAGCTAGAATCTGTGAAGAGCAAGACATGCCATGAAAGGTCTAGCAGCATGAATCTCGCCCACATCGACACAACCCCTCTTCCCCTGTACCTCCCACTTAACTCCAGCATATACAATAACCACGGAAGCATCCCTTGGCTTACTGTTTTGCCAGATCCCTCACCTCCATCGTGCTCTAGTGTCACCCATTCTGGCATGCTGGAGCATAGCAGAAAGAGTTCAGTATGCAAATGGGGTAAGACCTGTCAGGCACAATGCTCCTCCCCCTCTGATATTATCATTTATTTCATACGGCTACCCCAGGGCCTGCTCTTCCAAATACACTCAAGTCCAGAGTGGCCCACGCCTGGTTCACCTGGGAGGAAACGAGACAACCGGCAGTTCTGTGCAAGGCAAGGTGACCCCCAGCCCTCCTGGGGGCTCCCTTTTCCCAGCAGCAGCGAGCACAAGCATCCCATGCCAGAGGACTGAGGATGGGGCAAGACTGGTCATTTTTCCTCGCCAACCCCGGCATACCATCACCAGGGCCATCTCACAGGCCACTAACCGATGGTGGAATATCTGATGGGCCAATACACAAAAATGGGGATGCATTGGTAAGTGCTGCAGAGAGATCAACATATCCAGGCGGGGCCCTTTTGATGCAGGGACACCAATGGCTGGGTGTGTGTGTGATGCTAGCCAACTGTACTGGTTGCGGAAATCTGTGTCATTCTGTGTGACCTCTGCTGTGCGAACAGCATCCATGGCTCGATACTCACAAACAATCCAAAAAGGGATCCCATGGTTTGTTGCCGGCTTGTGAACTCTGGGTTGTTTAAAGCACAGGCAGCAGATGGAGTAAGCCACAACTGTGCGTTGTTCACAGGTTACTTCATCAGGCCTTACAGGTGGTGGGCAGGAGCAACCAAAAAACAGCTGCTGTGCATGCCAGGGCTACAATGCCACAAAGGTATCAGGGATGCAGGGAGGAGGAAGAAAACCCAGGGACTGAGAAAACAAACCACTATCTGCCTCACCAGTTGCTGGGCAAACCCTTGGGAAAGGCAACAAACCATGGTTAAAATAAATCATGGGTGAGCATTATGAGCTAACCAGGTCAGTACTTTTCAGTAGAACCAACAGGTGGGGATCGACACAGCCAGAATCACCTCTGGCTTGCTGCTGCTGCTGTTGGACTAGGGTTCTAGGAAGAGGTCAAGAAAGAGAGACTCATTAAAACCAAGGGCTGTAATAAGCCTGGAGAGCTTGAGAAGAGGATAAGGCCAATTGCCACGTAAGGGTCCATCAATACGTACTAGCCAAGATAGCTGAACAGAATCTCTAGGCCCAGGTGCAGTATACCTGTAAAATACCTGTTGCCTGGACTGAGGTGGTGGGGTGGGGTCTATTACATTTCAGGGGGGCATGAAGGCATCAAGAAGGCCAATTGTAGAAAAATGGGTGTCAGGCTGCATGTCTGCTCCAGCATGGCTCTTCCATGCTCTGGCGGAGCGAGCCCCTCTGCCAGGAAAACTCACCATAACTATCCGTGATCTGAGAGAGCTGAATGGGGGCATCCAGCAGCACCTGCTGGCTTCTCTGGGCGTTTGCACTGTCACTGTCAGAAACAAGAGAATGAGTTCAGAAGCCTCAGAAGGCAGCTGATTATACACCCCGTCACTAAGAACGTCTCTTGCATCGGCAGGGAGAACCGATGATCTGAATGCTGGTGCTACAGCCAAGCACCCCTGCCCCCAGCCCTGGCGAGTGACAGAGAAAGTATGCAAAAGTCCAGGGGCTGCTTGAGCTCTGCAGCTCCACTCAGGCAAGCCCCCCAGCAGAACCTGGATTTCGCACGTGCTGCTTCACACGGTAAACTAGGATTGGAGAAATGAAAGAGCAGAGAATGACCCCTCGCACGGCCCTTTTGGGGGAGATAGTATCAGGGGCAGGGGACCAATCCCCATACATCACCCACCACTTGGCCAAAGTACCAGCCAGCACTCCTCCCCGCTGGCCAAGTCAAGTGCCCAGCTTCACCCCCCCACCCCCATCAAGGAGGGTCTAGTGCACGGCATATCCTTCCAAGTGGAAGGCTGAGCCACATGTAGGGGACTCCCCAGCCATACAGCAGGAGAGTGGGACTCAGGAAATGTGGGTTCTGCTCCCCACTTGGCCATGAAGCCCACTGGGTGATTTGGGGCCAGTCAGTGCTTCTCAGTCTAACCTGCCCCACAGGGCAGCAGCTGTGAAGGGGCATCATGTAAGCTGTCTTGGGTTCCTTGAAGGGAAAAGGTGGGATAATACATAAGACATTCAATCGCCAACTGGAGGTAACAGCAGGATTCTACTTCCCCTTAGAAAATAGAAGTGGAACTAAAGAGAGGGCCTTGGAGATGGCTGCATTAAATGCTTACCAGCAATCCAATCCCTTGGGCCCATTCCCAACACATTCCATGGAGCACCTGAGACTCCCCCCCCCCCCCCCCAAGCATCCAACCAATGTAAGTGGAGAGAACTTACAGGTGAAGGGTATTGTACATGCGCTGGCAAATAGCACGGATGTCTTCGTCGTCTTTGGAGTCCCTGGACACATCCTGAAGGAGCTCCCCAACAGCTTCAAAGAGATCATCCACTGACTCAAAGTCCGAGCTGCCGCTGTGAAGAACCCCTGCCAAGGGGATGCAAAAGGCTGTGAATGTGTGGCTGAGTCCTGCTACGTTTTTATGGTCTCAATTGACAAATCACTTGGGAGCGGAACAAGAGCCCACCCCGGTCCATGGAATGGCCTGTTGCCAAGTTGAATTGCCATAGGTACTTCTTAACATGCCTTGGTCTTGCCTCTGGTACTGGAAATATGGAAGGGGAGGTTTAATCCAGGGGCCACCCACTGTCGATGCCTGAGCCCACGGCTAACGCAATAAAGCCCGGGATGCTGGTCATGGGTAGGAAGCAGCTCCATGCAGACACCAGCAGGCAGTGAAGGTAGCTCACTTGCCAGGACTTCACAAGGGCTTGGCTTCAACTCACACTTCATAAGTTCTAATTGTGTGGGTTTTTTTTAAAGTGCAGGACTTTTTTGAGAGCTCTGCTAGGCACAGGCTTGAACACATCCCAAATGCTCTCATTCAGATCCCTATCTGTAAGAAAGGAACTTCCCTTCCCACCTACAGCCAGTGTTTTAACCAGCTTCTAAGCAGTTTAGGTGCTTAAGTAAGGAAGACGGAATCCAGAGAGGCAGCAGAAGTTTGCAGGGGGGAAGAAGATACTTGTATATTTCAGACACTGCAAAATAAATTATATTTTAAAATCGAAGGGGTATTATAAAATATGAATTACCAAACATGTTAGATATGGATGTTGAGAATAAATCTGTTCATGAACATCGATGCACGTACTCTGATATTCTTGGACAAATGTAGATATATTGGTTCCCCACCCAGAGTTAGTTTAATCTTCCAGAGACACACTAGCCAGCTGCCCCGTACAATCTGCAGCTCACACTGCTTCCTCTGTAATGCAACAGGAGCTCTGCCCTCCCCATTCACATAGTCACCCACAATTCATGCCCAGCTTTGGGCCAGAAAGCTATCACCACATTGCACAAGAAGACCACCTGCTCCTTCCTCCGCTCTACCTGGGCTTTCACAACAAAAGCACCCACTCCATGGAGGTGCCAGTGATGGAGAGTTCCTTGTATCTGCTGCCAGATAAAGGGATGGTTGTTTATGATCAACTGGAAGTTCATAATCTCTTATATTCCTATGATGAGCTACCATTTACTTAAGAGCCCTGAGTCCTAGTTTTCTATTCAGTATAATGAGTATAATGAGACCTTGAGGAAACAAGCTTAAGAAAACCAGACAGTACTCTCCAACATCTGGGTATCTTCTTTCCCTACCTCTTTCAAACTTTGAATAGCAAGTTTTGTGGTAATAATGTCCACCTTAAGCTTTACATCACCCATCCCTAAATATTCAACAAGGAGCAGCTAAGCAATGCTATTAAGGCAGGACTGGGCAAGAAAAACTGAAAGAAAGTTTTCAGGAAAGGCTGAAGAATGAACTATTAGATAGATTGATTACTCTTTAAATTTTCGGCTAAATTATTCTTATACAACAGACAGCTACAGAATAGCCAGGAATATTTAATCCTCTTCCTGTTTCAATGCAAGCCTAAATTACACTGCAGACTACAAATATGAAAGGAACAGTTATAAAACTCAGAGTGATACAAATATTCCCTTATGTATGTAGCCTGTGAGGTGAATCAGCCACAGTGGCCAGTTATGTGTGATCTATTCTTCCCTACTACAACGCAGTGTTTACACTCCACCTTCATTTGTGGAGTAGCTTCCCAACCTTCAGACACTGATCCAGACACTGCTATGGTGCCCCAGAATCAAAATAAGACTTGGGGAGGGGAGAAAGGGCAAAGAACATTCTGGAACTCTGTGCTCCCGGGGTTAGATGCAATCCAGTGCTTCAGAGGAGAGGTGACCCATTAAGCCCGATTGTTTCGCTAGAAGCAAATCCAGTTTAAATCAATGGAATTTGCTTTTAAGCATGTTTAGGGTCGCGGGTGAACATGAAATCAGAAAAACCACATATTACATACTCAGTTGAGAGTGTCCAAGGACAAGAAGCAACTTAGTGTAACTGGCAAATAGCACAAGTAACTGTTTTTCATTATCGAAAGACTCTAGCAAACATGTACAACAGGGTGCTGTTGTTCTCATCTCTTGCTCCTGGGCTCCTCACAGGCAGCTGGTTGGCCATCCCGTGAACAGAGCACTGGAACTTTCCTCTGATTCATTTTCTTGTGATGTGTTCTTATTACAGATATATGGAGAGACCTTTCCCTAATTTCTCAAACAGCCACTGCCAGTCAGAGGAAACTAATGTGGGGCTCTGCCATCTGACTCAGGAGGCACCCTTCCTCATGGCATATTTTCACCCCTTGTGACACATAATAAACTCATCTATGCAAGAAGCATGTTTGAATGTATTATATATGTCAAAATCTTCCCCAAATTAATCTCCTCCAGATGCTGAGTTTCTTCACATGCTTGCTGGCTATGCTGGCTGAAGATAGCCTGGATGGGAACAGGTGGGAAAAGATGGCAAAGGATGGTTAAATTATGCAAATGTATATATCTGGGGGTGCAATCCTTTGGGAATGCCAAGAAACCATCAAAGTCAGAGGCAAAGGAAAGTGGTGGAGTGATCATTGCCTCTCCATCCTCCCACTCTGCTTTTTCGCCCATCTAACAGGAAAATCTCACCTTCAAAACACTTTATAACCTGGCCAATTTCCTCCCTGCCCTGTGAATCATGCTTTTCGACCCATTCCTCAGGTTGCCTTCCCAGCCTCAGAAAGCAGCCAGTGCAGTTCATTCTGGAGAGTGCAAAGGAAAGGATAGGAATCGAAGCTTCAGCTCAGTGCCCCAAGGTCAATACGCTGCCTCCAACCTCACAGCTGGGAATTCCTACAGCCCCTCAAACAACCTCAAGGGGTCATAAAACCATTCCCTCCAACACACCAATTCTGTGATCAATTGGTCTGGTCACAGATTACCATAATGTAAACAAATTTGCTTTTCTCTGAAGGATTTCATTGCTGCAGAGAAACAACTGTTAGGAAGCAGTGAAAAAAAGAGTTAGGTCAGAATGGCACAGACTTTTTAACAGTGTAGAAGTCTAAGAGAATAGAGATAGGAAGCTGTAGTTTTGCTTGCATGCTTGCAACCCGGACTTTTAAGTAAAATGTTACTCTTACTGGCACGGGTTGTTTATAAAAATGATGTAGGCTGAATAACTTGAAAAATTAGTGTGTGCTTTGTTATACTGTTCTGCTATGCTTTGTTACATGTATAAATTTCTGGCAGACTCTCAATAGGCAATGCCTTGAGACCTGCTCTCTTGCATACGATCACACTCGCATTTTTCTGTAGTACCATTCTGATAAAAGCATTGCTTTTTTTTAAACTGTCAACATACCTATTGGTTTATCTAGGCTCTGACAAAACCCGTACCTCTCTCTCCCTCCAGTCTGCACTTTAAGAAGCAGTAGCCCAATTCCATGCACTTTATTTTAGTGGAAAAACTGTCCAATGTTCTCAAAATGTCACTTAAGTTCCTTTAAAAATAAGATAGCTGGCATTTTTACTCCTGAAGACTTCAGGGGGTGACAGTCCGCAACCTAAACCACATCTAGGGGGCAGAGAGACTGATACTAAAAGGGAATTTGGCACAAAGTAAAGACACTCCAAGGACCCAATCCTATGCAGGCTTAGAAAGAAAAAAAGCCCTCCAAATCCGAGCATGTCCTAGCCAGCATATCAAAGGACGAACTCCTAGCCATGCTTAGACAGAAAAAAGCCCTACAGTTTCCAGCACTTCTGTCCAAACGTGCCTAGGATTGCATCAAGAGACTTCAATCCTACATCCTCTTTACCGGGGGTATGTCCTGCTAGTTTCAACAGATACGTACAAAGCTGCATGTGGATACAATTCAAAGGAAGGAGGAGAGGATAACCCCATTTACAGACATTTTGTTCTCAGAAAATCTCCTGCCGGCCTGAAGGAATCGCGCGATCTTTACTTTTTGCAGCGCTCCCCCGAGTGCCCAGCTGAGCCCCGCGGGGGCCGCGCGTCCACAAGGGCCTGGCAAGCGGCCGCCCCCGCTGCCGGGGCTCGGCCGGCCCTTCCCCGCAGCAGCTCCGACCCCACCAGCTTCTCAGGGGAAGCGGCAGACAGCCACGCTGGAGACCGGCCCGGCTCAGCTCGCTCGAGGCAGGGGGAGAAGGCGACGCCCCAGCCCCGCCGGCCAGCCCGCGTGACCCTCAGCCTCACCGGTCACGTAGTCGAACATTTCGCCGTCGAGTTCCGGGAACTCCCTCCGCAAGATCTCCGCGCAGGAGGCCGCCATCACCGCCGCCACCTGGCTCCGGGGCCTACCTCCGTCACCGCAGCAACCTGGGCTGCCGCGGCGCTTGCCGGGAAATGTAGTCTGTTGGGAGTGAGGGAAGGAGCAGCCCGACGTGGGCGGCAGTCTTCCCCCGCCACTGCCTCCTGGGTGGTTGCCGCGGTGGCTGCCGGGAAACGTAGTATGTCTAGAGTAGCGCGGGAAGGGGCGGGCGCTCTTTCTTTGGCCGATGGCAAAGGACGCTGGGAATGCGAGGCACCATTTTCCCTCTTAGAAGTAGGATCGGGCAAAAAGGTGGTGTTCCCTTCCGATGTGCTTCGTTGTAACTCCTCAGCCGTTTGGCTTTGCTGGTGGGAGCTGCAATCCGATGTATCCAGAGGGAGCCGGGTCAGGGGAAACTAGTTTAGAGGGTCTTTTGTTTTATCAGAGCAAAGGGCACATTCCTGGGAGACGATGAGTCTCTCCAAGGACGTTAGCCCTTAAAAATCCACGTGGAGCCTCTATGGTTAGAAGCAGTGTATCTTTACCCACAGAGACACCGGCTTAGCCGCTAAGCGAAGTTAGGAGCTGGTAGACCTAAAGAAGGCACTCGGTGTAGTAAAGCAGAGCTTTCATCATTTTAAAATGGTAGGATGGAATAACAAGCCCCTTGGTCAAGCAACACATAATGCATATTTTTATTATTATTTCATTCCTTTACTGCTGCCAAGCCACAGGTCCCTAGGCAGTTCACAGGAAACAACTATCACAGTATGAGATTTAAACAGACTATTGTTGGGAAATTCAGATAAATCCTGGTAGAAAAAGGCTGCTTATATGTGCTTTTCTGTTATAAAATCAAACTGTGCCCCTTTCTCAGAAAGTAGTAGACTTCCAAGCTAGATTACTATTTAGCATAGATGTTACTTTGGAAGGCTCAGCTACCTCCTAGGCTGCAAGGGAAGTTAATCCTTCTCTGTTCTCTTGCTGATCAGTAACAGCTGATAAGGCTGCCAGATCAGGTTTTTTAGCCGTATTGCAGTCACCCTAATTTGCATGATTAAAATTCAGAGCTAAGACTCACAAAATCCTTGTTTTCCTGAATTGTTAAGTCTATTTCCTGTAATCAAGGCTATTGTCCCCTCTGCAGAGCTCTCTCATTCTTTTGCCTGTGTTCCCCTTATTTTGTCATAATCTACCCTGCTCCTAGAGGAGTTCAACCCTGACTGCTCTTTAGAAGGCCAGATCCTGAAGCTGAAACTCAAATACTTTGGCCACCTAATGAGAAGGAAGGACTCCCTGGAGAAGAGCCTAATAGGCACAATAGATGGCAAAAAAAGGAGGGGACGGCAGAGGATGAGGGGGCTAGATGGAGTCACAGAAGCAGTTTATGAGCTTATGTGAAGGCCTGGAGGAATGTTGTCCATGGGGTTGTGATGGGTCGGACACGACTTGGCGACTAACAACAACAACACCCTGCTCCTATGTCATGTGACTCAGAACCTATAAAACAATATATATTCTGGAAGTTTGTAACTGTTTTTAACCTCTGTCTGGCAGCACTGTTCATACGGTTTGTCTCTGCAGAGGGTACATGAGGGGCTCAATCTAATAAACTGCTGAGGTTTATAACAAAATCTGTCTCCTTGTGAATCCAAGCATACATTCTCTCGACTGGTATTTCGCGATTCCCTGTCACTGTTAAACCTTGGCCATGCACTGAAACATGCACACAAGAGGTGTCCTGCTGTGTCAGTGCTGCCTGGTATAGAAATTCCGCTAAAATATTTTTATTATTACTATTACTATTATTATTATTATTATTATTATTATTATTATTATTATTATTATAACATTTCTATGCCGCCCCTTGCCGAAACCTCGGGGCGGCTTACAACATGATAAAATACATTGAAATACAATAGTACATAATAAATTACCATTAAATATAAAAATACAAAAAATACATTGATTTACAAATATAAAATTAAAATTATCAGTATAAAATAAAAATATAGGGGGAGAAAGAGAAGGAAGAAGAAGTTGTCCTGGCCAGATCATATGTTTTAACAATTGAAATGATGTTTAAATAAAAAGGTCTTTACCTGGCGCCGAAAAACCAGTAACGACGGTGCCAGGCGGACCTCTTTGGGGAGTGAATTCCATAGGTTGGGCGCCACCGCAGAGAAAGCCCTCCTCCGGGTACTTACTCTCCTAATTTCTTTCATGGAGGGTTCCCGGAGAAGGGACTCTCCCGCAGATCTCAAAGGGCGGTCGGGCATATACGGATGTAAGCGCTCATTCAGGTAGCCAGGACCCCAGCCGTTTAGGGCTTTATAGGCCATAATCAACACCTTGAATTGGGCCCGGGCTTCAATGGGAAGCCAGTGAAGCTGACGGAGGACTGGAGTCATGTGAGCATAACGCCCCGTTCCCGTCAGCAACCTGGCAGCTCTATTTTGCACCAATTGAAGTGTTCGGACTGTCTTCAGGGGAAGACCCACGTAAAGCGCGTTACAGAAGTCTAGGCGGGAAGTCACCAGCGCGTGTGTTTTTAAAGTATATTTCTGTCACATTCAGTCAAAGCCACTAGATGGTAGCATGGAGTTACCTTGGATAAACCATGTTGCCAATGCACTAGCAAGTCTCAAGTGGGTTTCAAAAGTATAAGAATTGTACTTTAATAGAGGTGAACAGGGAGATCTTGATAAGTTAAATGCCAGGCTGAAAACAACAGAATGAAATTCAGTAGGGAGAAATGCCAAGTCTTGCACTTAGGCAAAGGAAAACAAATGCATTGCTACAAAATGGGGAATGCATGGCTCAACAGAACTGAAAAAGACTTTGGAGTTACTGTGGACAACCCACTATGTATGAGCCAATGATGAGATGCTATCACAAAAAGGGAAAATGGTATTTTGGGGTGTAGTAATGGAAGCATCACTTCCAGAACAAGAGAGGTACTAGTTCCCCAATACTCTTTACTGGTCAGACCTTCACTCCTATGCCTAGTTCTGCTTCTCCTTCCCAAAATGCAGGTTAGCTTTGCATTTAAAGACTTGGGGTGGTGAGCATGTGCAATGGCTTGCCTTAATGGGAGTGCACAGAAGAATAGAGTTGGAAGGGGCCTTGGAGGCCATCCAGTCCAACCCGCTGCTGTCGCAGGACACCATGTCACACCATCCCACTCAGAGGGCTGTCCAGGTTCTCCTTGAATGTCTCCGGTGTGGGAGCGCCCACCACCTCTCCAGGCAGCTGGTTCCACTGTCGTCTTGCTCCGACAGTGAGGAAGCTTTTCCTGATGCCCAGCCTGAGTCTGGGCTGTCACAACTTGAATTGATTATTCCGTGCCCTACACTCTGGTATCAGCAAGAAGAGATCTTGACCTTCCTCTTTGGGACCATCCTCTATGTTTGTAGCCTTGGTTGTTCACCACTCCAGAACCTGTCTGGCTGTGGAGCAATACCAAATCCCCTCTATGGAGTGGTAGGTTGGTAGCCTGAGAGAAGGTGGTAAAGAAGCCTCTCTTTGAAAAATGCATGATGGGACTAGCCTCTAAGTAACCCCAGAGCTATAATGAGTGTATTTTAAATGAAGGTTTATGTTCTGTATGCACCGTTCCTTTTCCAGCCACAGATAAACCGGTGGCTTCCTCATGGGCCAGGAGCACTTCTGATTGTGCGGCCTCAATGCTGCTGCTACAAGAAGCAATTTGGAAGGACTGAGGGTGGCCAGAGTAAGGGGCAAGCAGATTTGTTACAGTGCCTTGCAGATGTCGTCACCTCACCTTTGATTTGTCTTAACTGGCTGCGATCTCACATAACAACAAACCATGCAGAAACTGCACGAAGTGGGGTGCGTTTGGTTCCTAGCTAACCACACAGAAAGACAACAGTTCTTTGCAAGTCTTCTATGCTTCACCAGGGCTTGGTTTTGCCCAAAACCCCAGTGGCAATGTTTCCACCCAGTTTCCAAAAATCCATCATCACGTTTGGCAGCAAGAGCGGTCGTGGCTGTAGGAGACATCCCGGCCTGCATTTTCCATGTCCCGCCCTGCCAAGCAACTGCACGCCACCTTCCCGATGCCCGCCTGCAGCCTTGGCATCTCCGCAGCAGCAGTCGCGACCTGGGGGATGGACGCACTTGGCGCCCCTGTCTGGTTGCTGCCCTTGAAGTGGCTGTGTGCTTGTCCTACCTGGGAGCCAGCAGCTTCCTCATCTGAAGAGGAGGAGGGCACTGCTCCCAGCACTGCGATTGCCCCAAGAGCCGTGTCTTCGTTCTCTCCCTCCCACTCCTCTGCTCCTGCCTTGTGCCTGACATTCCTAATTACCATGAACAAGCCCCATTGTCTCCCCACCCACAGCTACAGAGCAAACACCACCCTAAAAGCTGGGAATGCTCAGGAAAACCTGCCCAGCAGGATGAGCTTCCTTTGTCCCTGGCATGGGTGCCCACATGGATGCCGTCTGTGTGTCTGGCTGCAGGCGGAAGGCGGCGCCTCTCCAGGGCAGCTCTCGTGAGTAAGCAGCTATTTCCAGGGCTGCAGTGAGGGAGAGACAGGTGACAGGAGTCCAGGAAGAGCTGGCGAGCTCTGCCTTTCCCTCACAGTTGCTTTCAGAAAAACCTCGCTGGGGATTTACACCATCCTGTATTATTTGAATTTATTTACAAGTACAGTGGTACCTTGGCTCATGAACTTAATCCATTCCACGACTCTGGTGGTGACCCTAATGGGTCATGAGCCAAGTCAAATTTCTCCATAAGGTTCAATGTAAATAAGGTGAATCCATTCTGTAACCATTTTGTTTAAATCACAAATATTTGGAACAAAGTGACAAAGAACAACAAAGTAACAAAAAACAACAAAGATCGTGGCCACCTCCCCCCCACCCCCAGCATGATCGTGGCCGTCTTCTCCCCCCTGCCCCCCAGCACGACAGCAATTGTGCTCGTGCCGGGAAGATGGGTGCGATCGCGATTGCCAACCGACGCGGAGCTTGCGACCTGAGGCAATTTTTTTCCTGAAATTTTTGTTCGCGACCTGATTTGGTAGTGAATTGAGGTGTTCGTGA